GAACCAGCTCCACCCACAGGGTCTTATACCACTTTCTAACACCTTCTGGTCAACCAATGGGAATCATTTTCCTCACCCATTGGTGATCAATCCTACAGCACTTTTTAGCTCTCTCCCAAGTAGGAACTTCAACAACCTTTGAAGTTGAAATGGACATTTTAGGCACGCCTCTTTGGTTGCATGGTCCAGCCAATCACCATGAAGCTACTCACAGCTTGAAAATATCAGTCCTTACCGTTGCAACATCGAAAGACTCATATATGGCATGCCCAAAAGCCAGCCATTTCTATTCGCATCTAACGAAAAAAGAATGTTCTTGAGTATTGTCCTATACCCACATGTGTTTGTGTTACTGCTTATCACTTTGTGTTTAAATCAGTAAGTGTGCAATTAAACTAACTAAAAATCTTCTCATCCATATCCATTCAACGACTTGATCCAAATAACCATCTATAATGACCCAGTTATATCAATAATTCCTATGAAGTCATCACATATATATTCTTTTAATTCGAGAATCTTAAATTTTTCAAATGCATTAATGATTTTGAATATATATATATATATATATATATATATATATATATATATTATTGTTTGATGTGATCTCTTGTTTGTAGAGAATTGACCTATATATATATATATATATATATACATATATATATATATATATATATATATATATAATATTGTTTAATTTTTTCTAGTTAAACAATTATACTTTCTTGCTCTCCTGAGCAAGAACAAATCCTTATCTGTAATCCTCCACTTGAAAATGTAATAACGTTTTAGTATAATAGACAATGCAAAAAATTTTGTTTCTAAAAATAAAACAAAATATTTGCAAAATTGACTCAATGAGATATTGACGAGTAGCTATAATAAAGTAGGTACATATATTCAGAGTATATCAGTATACTTTCAGTAAATAAAAATGTTTAAATCTTTCAATAATGTATTCATTTACTCCATAACGTATTTTAAAATTATTAGTATGTCTGATATATATTTTTTTAAGTTTTAACATTACATACATATTTTTATAAAATATAAAAATAAATATGATCGAATTGTGAATCTATACATAATATTTAATTAAATAATGTCAACTTACCAGGAATTATATTTTAAATTCAATTATTTATAAATAATTTAGTAAATATGTTTGATAGCTTGTGTAATATTTAATTAATTAGAAATACATAATCGGAGATAGTTTTTATGATTAACATTCTACTGGTATTTACAAAAGATATTAAAAAGTGTATTCTTATAACACAGAAAATTATGTTTCCCATACTTATTGAAAGAGAGTAAAATGACTAAAGTAAAAAAAGAATGGTATAAATATAAATATTTCAATATTGTTCAATATAGATAATGTTAAAAGGGAACTTTTTTGGAGTTGAATTTTTTTTATCCCACTTTACGATAATTGTAAAAATTGAATACATTTTAGTTGATATGCGATTTGTACTTGTTCATACATGAAGTGATCGTGAACGGAATAAATACTTTAGAATTTTAAAATAAAAAAAGAAGAAATTTTTCAAATCAATTACTTTAATTCATTTGAATTTACGTTCTTTGAAGAAATATATAAAACTACCTCAGTTTTTAAATTTTTTACTGTATTTTTTTTCCATTTAAATAGTGCTTTTCTGATTTATGCACCTGCCAAAAGATGCTTACACAGCTAAGTTATGAGCCTCCCAAGTTACAGTTACCGTTTATAGCCAATGGTTGTTTTAAGTATATTTAACTGTTAATAATTTAAAATTTAAATTACTCTATTTATCACGGCTATTTAATCTTTTTTTGCAATGCAGAAAGTACAGTTTTGTTTTCTTCCATACGTTGAATGTCAGGCTTCTCACCATCACTTTTACCTGCTCTTGAAGATCATTTATCTTACTTTCAGTTGTAATGTATAGTACAACCATATCTACATTCGCGCGTTCTAAAAAACAGACACAAAATGCAGTTAAAATATAGCATTTATATCACCAAAGATCATTTTAAAGGGTTTTTTAGAATAAGCAGTGTTGTAGATATCTTTAGTTTTTTGACATCTAACAACAAACATTAATGCAAATGGTATCGCTACTTCTATCTGTCGAAAAAATTAACATAAAACATGCAACATTTAAAAGTCATCAATCTTTTTTATGTCCTATTTATTTCATTTTAAAGTTAAAAAATGCTACTGAGATTTAATTTATCTCAAATGTCACTCAAGAGGTTTCTATCATTTTTGTATCATATTTCTTTGAAGTCGTGCTATCTTCCTTCTTTAAATATCCAACCCTTCGGAACCAATTTTTTGGAAAAAAAAGGGGTTTTTTAAAAAATTTAAGGGAATTTTTAAAAAAAAAATTTTAAAAAAAATTTTAAAAAAAATTTTTTCCCCTTTTACTTTAAAAAAAAAAATTTTTTTTTTTAAAAAATTTTTCCCCCTTTTTAAATTTTTTTTTTTTTAAAAAATTTTTTTTTTAAAAAAAAAAAAAACCCCCTTTTTTTTTTTTTTTGGAAAAAAAAAAAAATTTTTTAAAAATTTTTTTTTTTTTTTTAAAATTTTTTTTTTTTACCAAAAAATTTTTCCAAAAAACCCTTTTTTTTTTTTCCCCCTTTTAAAGGTTTTTTAAATTTTTTTTTTTAAAAAAAAAAATTTTTTTACTTTTTTTTTTTTTTTTTTTAAAAAAAAAAGGGTTTTTTTTTTAAAAAAAAAAATTTTAAAACCCAAAATTTTTCCCTTTAAAAAAATTTTTTTTTTTTTTTTTCCCCCCTTTTTTTTTCCCCCCAAAAAAAGGGAAAAAAGGGAAAAATTTACTTTTAATAAAAAAAAATTTTTCCTTAAATTTTTAAAATAAAAATTTTTTTTATTTTTTTTTTCCATTTAAAAAAAAAAAAATTTTTTTTTTTTCCCCTTTTTTAAAAAAATTTTTTTTTTAAAAAAATTTTTAAATCTTTTATTTCCTTTTTTTTTCCCCAAAATTAAACCCTTTTAAAATTTTTTTAAAAAAATTTTTTTTTTTTTTTAAAAAAAATTTTTTTTTTTTTTTTTAAAAAAAAATTTTTAAACCAATTTTTGGCAAAAAAAAAAAATTTTTTAAATTTTTCCCCTTTTGAAAAATTCTTTTTAAATTTTTTTGGTTTTAAAAAAAAAAAAATTTAAAAAAATTTTTAAAAAAATTTTTCCCTTTTTTTTTTTAAAAAAAGGGGGGGGTTTTTTGGGGGAAAAAAAAATTTAAAAAATTTTAAAAAAAGTTTTTTTTTTTTTGGGGGAAAAAAAAAATTTTTAAAAAAAAAAAAAAGGGTTTTTCAAAGGTTTTTTAAAAAAAATTTTCCCTTTTTTAAAAAAGGGGGTTTTTTTTAAAAAAAAAAATTTTTTAAAAAAAAAGGAAAAAATTTGATTTTTAAATAAAAAAAGCCTTTTTGAGACGAAAAAAGACATTTTCGGGCAGGCAGTCACCTTAAAACTTAATGTTCCAAAATGGGTATGGATCAATTTTCCCAAATTTCTGTGGCACTCAAAAACGCATTTGCTTAATATGGGAAGTATTTTTAAACCCTTTTGATTAAATGAAAACTTTATTGGGGTCACATTGTAACCCGGTACTTTCGTGTTTTTTCTACTAATCCTCCTTGGAAAAATTCTTTAACTGTGATTTTTGTTTAAGAACCGCTTTCCGTAAGAGATGACTTGGATGCAAAAAGCAACTACTATTTAAAAAGGGTTTAAAAAGTGGAAAAGGGTTTAAACGTTGATAATTAAAAGTGGGAAACTTTAAAAATTTGTAAATGGGGGGGTGACAGAAGGGGGTCAAGCAACCCGAAATTAATATTCGTTGTAAAATCCACCATTTGTGGAAAGAAATATCATTGGAGCTGACCGAGCTATCAAGGTTCACAAAGGATCGTCACAAGAAGCTCCGACTCATGCTAAGTGATTTTCAATAATTTTATATGCCGGATTAAGAGTTAGAATTTCAGATTGGTCCCAGAGTTAAGCTATAAAATTGTATATTTCCATAAAGTGTGAAAGATAGAATAAAATTAGCTAGTTTTAAGATCACCTCTTCATTTTCCCCGAATCCTCTTACACCCGTGACCTTCGGGCAGCGACAGCATTTAAAAACAAGTGTCTTATCAAACACTAATTTTATGTCGATTGCATGATTTAATTGGCATGCTTTTTCCAACATTTCTGAAAAAGTGAATGTAAAAGTCTTGTATAAAATAAAAGCCTTGAGGATAGAGTCTGCTCCAGCATTCTTTAGTTGCAAGAATTTACTAAAATAAACAAGATCATCTTTAATACCAAAATCTTCTAAATTATTATATCCCACTTGTAAGATTTGGAAAGAACCCACACTGGATTATTTTCCCGACTGTGATGATAAATATAGTTCGACTATGAACCCATCTTCATGCAACACAAAACGTAAACTTACTGGGATGACAAATAATTTAAAAAAAAAAAAAATTGCTTGATATCAGTGAAGACAGCAGTTTGGAACAAATATTTCAAGATGGAAGGCACACACACACACAATAATTTGGGATACAAGTGTATTCGGAAAACAATGTTGCAGTGAAATATCTATTTGAGTCTATATTCTCCCATGTACGTTAACAAGTAATATATATATATATATATATATGAATTTTCCAATTTCTTCCTGCTTTAGCACTGTATGTTCTAGTACTTCTTCACTTTTATATTATATTACTAGATATAATATATATATATAGGTAGATAGAGATATTAAAGTCACAATTCCTACTTCGGTCAAGAAAGAAAACTTTTATTTTAGTTACTTTTTATTAAAAATAATTACAATTAATATAAATATGTATATACATATGACAAAATTACAACATTAAGTGGCACAAATTAGCATACGTTTCTCCATTTTCCTTTCTATATATGGTTTTAGACTATTATTTTTGTTTGTTACTATTTATTCATTCATAAATCACACTCTCAGAAATTAGGCCATCCCAGATAGAATTCAAATCTACGACCTTTAGATTAGAAATCCAACGCGCTATCCATTGCGCTACAGAGACACAACGAGCGATTTTCCTTTTTATATAGAATGTTGGACTATTATTTTTGTGTTTGCTCCTATTTATTCATTAATTAAATTTAACTAATGAATTAATATATTAAAAAAAAAACGCATTAACATCAAGGGTCATCTACTACAAATTTTAAAAAAATGTATTTGAACTTCAGTGGATGAATAAAAGCATTTTATTAACGATTGAAAATTTGAACAAGTTATATATATACACTCGGGAACATTGAAAATAGCGACCCAAAAAAGAGTGCACAATCACTAAACTTTGCAAATAAGTACAGCGTAATGTGATATGCAAATGATCCAAGTTTTGTGCCAATACGCATGCCATACACGCCGAGGTGGCGTCAATCAGGAAGGGGGTGCTATATGCCGTGCAAATTGAAGATTCATAAAAGGACGGTTACCCCCGATTGTAGGAAGACTTTGGTAAGCAAAACATGCCGTAAACGTGCTAGAAGACATTTCTCAAGTTGCGGGGTTTGAGAGAGGCCGATCACCGGCATGAAAACTGCAGGCTGGTCGGCGCGCCGTGTTGCGGCCAGGTGGATCGTTCGGAGTGTGCCGTTAGAAATTGTCGGGAGCAGTGGACCGAGAAGGTATCCCGGAGAAACCGGGTCTGGAGCACGGAAGACCACGAGGAGAGAGGATCGAAGGATCGTGCGGCAAGCACTTGTGAACCCCACAGTGACTCAACGATACGAGCAGACGTGGCGTAGCAATTGTTCCACAAACAATTTTCAGACACCTTCCAGAAGCAAATCTTTAAAACCAAGCACCCCTTTCCGTGCACTCCCCCTTTAACACCGGAACATCGGCAACTGCGTCTACAGTGGTGCCAAGCCAGATCAATGTGGAATGTCACATATTGGCAAAAGGTTGTGTTTAGTGATGAATCCCGGTTTGTTTTGGGACAGATGATAACAGTGTGCGGGTGTGAGCGCCATGGTGAGGGTACAACCCCACACTGTTCCCACTTCACTGCCCGCACAGCTGGTGTGTAATGGTCTGGGCTAAGCCTATGATAGCCGGTCCACTTTTTAACCTTAACGGGAACGTTACGTTGATGATATTTTCGATCCCATGTTGGACCTTTCCTAAATGGTCTGTCAGGGGCAATTTTCCAGCAAGATAATGTTCGTCCCCATACAGCAAGAATTGCTCAAAACTTCCTACGTCATTTTCAGACTCTTCCATGGCCGTCCCGCTCCCCCGATTTGTACCCTGTAGAACACGCGTGGGATCAGCTAAAACGGCAGATGCCATCGTGTCACTCTGTATATGATTTAGAGTTGGCTGTTCAAGATTTGTGGGCCCATCTGCCTCAGGATAACATAAGGTGTCTAATCAACTCAATGCCGGACCGTATGGCGGCATGTATTGCAGCTGGAGGTGGTCCAACGCGCTATTGAAGTTGCCCGGTATTTGTGTCGTTTCACACCCTGTACCGAACGGGCAATAAAAAAAGGGGGGTTTTTGGGGGGTTTTGGGGGAAAAAACCCCGGCCCCCCGGGGGGGGGGGAAAAAAAAAACCCCCCCCCTTAAAAAAAATTTTTTTCCGGGGGGGGGAAAAAAATTTTCCCCAAAGGGGGGGCCCCCTTTCCTTTTTTTCCCCCCTTTGGGGGAAAAACCCCCCCCGGGGGGGCCCCAAAACCCGGGAAAAAAGGGGGGGAAAGGGAAAAAAAAGGGGGGGGGGAAATTTTGGGGCCCATTGGGGGGGGTTCCCCCCAAAAGGGCCCGGGGTAAAAATTTTAAAAAATTTTCCCAACCCTTTAAAAACCCTTTTTTGGGTTTTCCCCCCCTTTTAAAGGTTTTTATTTTAAAATTTTCCCCCAATTTTTAAATTTTTTTTTTTAAAAAAGGTTTTTTTTTAAATTTTTTTGGGGGGGGGAAAAAAAAAAAAAAAAAAATTTTTTTTTTTTAAAAAATTTTTTTTTTTTAAATTTTATTTTTTTTTTAAAAAATTTTTTTAAAAAACCCCAAAAAAAAAATTTTGGGGGGTTTTTAAAAAAAAAAAAAAAACCCCCCCCGGGTCGGGGGGTTTTTTAAAAAATTTTTTTCCCCAAAAAAATTGAAAAATTTTAAAAACCATTTTCCCCCTTCCGGGCCCCCCTTGGGTTTTTTTTTTTTTAAAAATTAAAAAAATTTTTTTTTTTTTTTTTGGGGGGGGGGGTTTTTTTTCCCCCCAAAAAAAAATTTTAAAATTCAAAAAAAAAAAGGGTTTTTTGAACGGGGGTTTTTTTTTTTTGGGGTTTTTTTAAAAAAAATTTTTTTTTTTTTTTGGGGGGCGGAAATTTTTGGGAAAATTAAAATTTAAATTTTTTTGGTTTTTTTTTTTTTTTTTTTTTTATTTATTTTATTTAAAAAAATTTTTTTAAATTTATAAATTTTTTTTTAAAAATTTTTAAATTATTTTTTAAAAAAAATTTTTTTTTTTTTTAAAAAAAAAAAAAAAATTTTTTAAAATTTTTAAATTTTTTTTAAAAAAAAAATTTTTTTTTTTTAAAAAAAATTTTTTTTAAAAAATTTTTTTTTTTTAAAAAAAACCCCAAAAAATTTTTTTTTTTTTCCCCGGGAAAAGGGAAAAAATTTGGGGAAACCCCAAACCCAAAAACCCGGGGGGGGGGAAAACCCCCTTTGGGGGGTTTGGTTTTAATAAGTTCGTAAAATTTTAATTGGGACCTAATCTGACACTGTAATTGGTCCTGATTGAGTAGGGAAAAAAAGATTAAAAAATTTCCCCCTTTTTTTTTTCCCCCAAAAAGGGGGATCCGACGAAAAAAAAGGGGGAAACCCCCTTTTTTCCCCCCAAAAAAAAAAAATTTTCCAAAAACCCCCTTTTTTTAAATTTTTTTTAAGGGGGGGGCCCTTTTTTTAAAAAAATTTTTTTTTTTTATTCCCTTTTTTTAAAAAGGGGAAAAAACGGCACGTACTCGATACTAACGTTACTGGTTTTTTAAAACCTTTTTTTTCATTTTTTTTTAAAATTTTTTTTTTTTAAAAAAAATTTTTTTTTTTTTATTATTGGTTTTTAAAAAAATTTTTTTTTTTTTTTTAAAAATTTTTCCTTTTTTTTTTTTTAATTTTTTAAAGGAAAAACCAAAAAAAAAAAAAAAACCCAAATGGAAAAAAAAAGGATTTTTTAAAAAAATTTTTGGGGTAAAGGGCCCCCAAAAAAAATTCCCCAACCCCGAAAAAAAGGGGGGGGAAAAAAAAAAATTTTTTAAAAAAAATTTTTTTTTTTTTGGGGGAAAAAAAAAACCAAAAAAAGTTTTTTTGGGTTTTTTTGCCCCGGGGGTTTTTTTTGGGGTTTAAAATTTTTAAAAAAAAAAAAAAAAAAAAATTTTTTTTTTTTAAAAATTTTTTTTTTTTAAAAATTTTTAAAAATTTTTTTAGGGCTTTTTTAAAAATTTTTTTTTTTTTTTTTTAAAAAAAAAAAATTTTTTTTAAAAAATTTTTTTAAAAAAAATTTTTTAAAAGGTTTTTTTTTTTTTTTTTTTTCCCCCCTTTTTTAAAATTTTTTTTTTCAAAAATTTTTTTCCTTTTTAAAAAAAAAAAATTTTAAAAAAAATTCCCTTTAATTTTTTTTTTTCCCCCAAAAAAAAAAAAAAAAAAAAATTTTTTTTTTTTTTAAAAAAGGTTTTTTTTGGGGGAAAAAAAAATTTTTTTAAAAAAAAAAAAAAAATTTAAAAAAATTTTTTAAAAAAAAAAAAAAAAATTTTTAAAAAAATTTTTTTTCCCGGGGGGGGGTTTTTTTAATTTAAAAAATTTTTTTGGGTTTTTTTTCAATTTTTTGGGAAAAATTTTTTTTTTTAAATTTTAAAAATTTTTTTTTAAAAAGGGGGGTAAAAAAAAAACCCTTTTTTTTTTTTAAAAAAATTTTTTTCCTTTTTAAATTTTTTTTTTTTTTTTTTTTTTTTGGAAAAAAAGGGGGGGGAAAAAAAAAAAAAAAAAAAAAAAATTTTTTAATTTTTTCCCTTAAAAAAGGGGGTTTTTGGGGGAAAAAGGGGGGGCCAAAAAATTTTAATTTTCCAAAAGGGGGGGCCCCCCAAATTTTTCCCTTTTTTTGGGGGGGGTTTTCCCGGGGTTTTTAAAAAAAAAATTTTTTTTTTAAAAAAAAAAAAAATTTTTTAAAAAGGGGGTTTTTAAAAGGGGGCCCTTTTGGGCCCAAAGGGGTCTTTAAAAAAGGGCCCAAGGGTTTTTTAAAACACCCTGGGGCCCCCCCCCCGGGGGGGGGAATTTTTAATTTTTTTTAAAAAAAATTTTTTTTTAAAAAATTTTTAAAATTTTCAAAATTTAAAAAAAAAAAAAAAATTTTTTTTTAAAAAATAAAAAACTAATTTCACATTAAAAATCTTTTTTCTTGCGCTTAATTTATTACTCACTATGAAATGATCCTAAATATTAATTTTCATACGCTTTTTCTCCTTTTAGTTCAGATGTTCAGTAAGTTAAATGTATGACTCACTAAACTTCAACAACTGTGATACCCAGGGGCATCATCTCTTCATCCATACGACCTAGATTTGTAGGGATAAATGATTGACCACTCGAACCTTCTATAATAAATCTAGTTTATTATATCTCAATATATATTAATCAATGCAACATAAGTCTTATCTCAGGTAGGATATGACGTAATTAACAATTCTAGTAAATAGCGCATTAAATACAACTCACTATCTTTTTGATAAATTAACTTAATAATAATAAATAATAATAAAATAATGAATCTTTATCTATAGCCGATTTCTTAACTAGCTAGAGTCTACTCTATAATTTAACTTTAATAATCAATCGCTTACCGATATCACAAGGTGATCAGCTACCCAGATTTATAACCTCGTTCTGTACTTTATTCCTTTAATATTAATCTTATCTGCATTATTATTATCTGACTTGATCCAGCTTCTATTCACTTTCTGGCTTCTAACCGACTTCTATATGGCTCCTATAATACACTCTGGCCTCCAGCCGACCTCCTCG